TTTGTGGTCGAAAATTACCTTCATAGCATTTTTAGGGCCCAAAGGGCACTAGGAATGTCATAGATAAGAATAAGAGCAATAAACATACATTTTATAGGCCTTTGCGGTCTGAAAACAGAACTCAACTATCCCTTTAAAAGTAAAATAGACTTAATCTTAATCATTATTTTGCTTAATGGGCTACGACTTTTCTTGTGTACGAATTTCCTCTGGGAAATACCAGGGGATGTTGATATTAAAGATCTCTATACACCAAACTTTCATTTTCTTCATGCACCCAATATCAAAATATATCACAATTGCATATTTTCAAATTTTGGAGTGTGAAATAAAACCCTTATGGTTACAGGAATGTGCACCGCACCCATTGTTCACAAATAACAAAACAGCCAATTGTATTAATTCAGAAATTTATCTACACGTATGACAATGATCAGGTATTTTGACTACGCATTTTAACCGGGTGACTTTGGATATTGGTGGTAATGCATTATTTGGTATACAAATTTCCTCATTCCATTGTGTTTTGAATGCTCCATCTAAATTACGTCCTTCTCTACTACTACGGTTTTTTCTTCTACAATACCTATTTTTTTCCAGGAACCTATAATATACAAGTACTTCTTTTTAATAGGTTCTCACATTCTACTTAATCTATTATATGAATTGAAAATCATTGAAACGTGCTCATTTATACTGTATGTATTATATATTTTTTAATTCTATATGTATGTCTATATTATTTGTAAAATTTGGAACAATAAAACATTGAAAACTTTAAGTATTGGTATAGGCTCTGTTTTATTCATGTTTAAGACATTTATTGATGGATAGGCATGTATTGCACAATATGACATAAACATTGCTGCTTACATGCGGTCATGTAAAATTGTGTATATTAGAAAATGTTGAGTATTGTGTTGTGAAAACACAAATTTTGTCAGTTGAAGATAAAGAGTTGCTGCAGAAATTGATGTTATAGGATGTAAACATGAAAGAATATATTTATTAACTAGGCCTATTCATATTAAACATGAAGGTGTTGGGAGAAATTTACAAACACATCGTGTAAAGAGAGGGTGATATCAATATTGTTTAAATCATACAAATTAATTTCCTGTGATACAAAATTATAAGTGTATAATTTGTAGTCCTAAACTGTGTGATTTACCCTTTTCCATTGATTGTTTTGAATTTCATACATACACTCTGAATATGTTTCTTCACTTCCTTTTCCAGCTGTAGCCTATATTAAGCTATATTTTCTCAGAATGTTATAAAATATAGTAATTGAACTGACAATAATTACGCGTAGAACTCAGGACCATAGCTGAGATAAATTTATCGTTACAGTTCAGGTTTTTAAAATATATCATCTTACTTCTTCACGGAGGGTACATCAGCCAGTTGCGGTTTTACAAAATGACCATGTTAGCCAGGGGCGGATCCAGTCGGCCACAAGAGGGGGGGGGGGGGGGTCATTTCGTGAGAATATATTTAACGGCGACTCAGCCAGCCAACAAATAAGCGGGGGGGGGGGGGGGGGGTAAGAGCATTTCTTTGTCCATTACGCGAGAAAATATTTAGCAGCGAATCAGCTAGCCGGGGGGTAAGAGGACTTAAAAAAAACAATCGGCGACATTATTATAAATTTGCCAAGGGGGGGGGGGGGGGCTTAAGTTTTTTGTTAAAAAAAAGTTAATTTACGTACCAATTTTTATGTTTTACCTGTTTTGGGGGCTAGGGGGAGGGGGCCGGGCCCGTCGGGCCCCCATTGTGGATCCGCGCCAGGTGTAACACACATACACTAACACATACTATGATGATATTGACAAACTAACGACATCTTACATTTCTAATGACCCCTCCCCCCCCCCCCACACACACTCGTACAATTCTATGATTCGACTGGCAGTCACCCGATGCTAGCAAGAAATCACCTAGACTGGTATCAATAAAAAAAGAGTAGTGAATTATCTTCTACTTTTTTGCCACGATTTGAATACATTTTGTCAATCAGTGCCAATTTAATCCTCTCTGATTATTTACAAAGTGAATTAAAAACGTATTTGCGCACACATCTAAAATTTTCTGTTGAGAAACGTGAAATTTTTTTAAATATACAATTTTACTTCTTCACGGAGGTACATCAGCCAGTTGCTGTTTACACACATGCTGTGTAAGCAGCCATGTAACACACAAACACTAACGCATATTATGATGATATTGAAAAACTAACCACATCCGAAAACAGATTACATTTTCTACAAGAGAATTGATTTCATAAACAATAGCATAAAGATATGAGGCTTGTACAATTTTTTTTAAATCACCGCAAGCAGACATGCAGAATGTTCACATTTTTTCAAACTCATTTACAGTCGTATACATTTCTAATGAGCCCCCCCCCCCCCGACACACACATACACACACACTCGTACAATTCTTTGATTCGACTTGCAGTTACCCGGTGCTAACAATAAATCACCTATACTGGTATCAATAAAAAAAAAGATTAGTGAATTTTCTTCTAATTTTTTGCCAGGAATTGAATAAACTTTGGTCAATCAATGCCAATTTAAAGGGATAGTTGAGTTCTGTTGTAGAGAGCTACACAATTTTTTTTGTGTGAGATAATAAATAAATGAGTGTTAAGTTTGAAAGAACATACAATTTGTTTGACAAAATCATCTTTGTTTGATCAAAATCGGTTCAGAGACGGCTGAAATATCCATAAATATAACGATTTTTAATATTTATGTACCACCACAAATATTAGATAATTTGAAGGTGGGGCTGAATTAGTATGATCGTATTGGCTAAATTTCACACATGTTGGGGTCTAAAATTACCTTCAGGTTCTAAAGGGGCACTAAAAATGTCATAGATAAGAATAAGAGCAATAACGATGCACTTTGAAGGCATTTGCGGTCTGAAAACAGAACTTTAATAAAATTTGGAGTGGACTATTAAGCTATTATTATTATTATTATTATTAACTATTCCTTAATAATCCTGACTGAATATTTACAAAGTGGATTACAAGTAACGTCTTTGCAGAGTATCCAGGAGTGAAATATGTACAAGCTATAACTCATTCGCTCTATCATTCATCACTTTACATGGCCATTAAATGGCTTCATAGGCAAGGGGTGTTACTATATTAGGGATAACACCCCCCCCACACACACACACACACACACGCATACACGCATCTAAAAAATTATGTTGAGAAATTTGGAAAATTTATAGCCCTAAATGTCGGCATCTTGCAATAAAAAATATATACATGTATACATTTTACTTGCTTTTCTGAAATCTTTGTCTGCCTTGTTGTCCGCAAATTGGATTATCTGATTACCAGTATTTTTGTAACTCGATCCGTCTGCAACATTTTAAATATCTGTGCCCTTTTTTTTTCTTTCTTTGTTTGGTTATTTAGTTCTTTTATTTTTTTTGTTTCTCTGCTTGTTTTTTTTGTTTTTTGTTTGTTTTGGGGTTATTTAAAAATGATTGCTAAAGCCGGCTAGTCGGTAATTTTGTCACCCCCACCGCCAGTTTCAAAGTGGTCTAGTTGCGCCTTTATTTATAGCTTTGTGTTTTCTACTCCTGATCTTCAAGAAGTGCCGAATAGAATTTAGCTCCGGGTCGTATTTCAAAAGCGTATGTAGACGTCGCCAGACATTCCTTGCCGAGTAAGCACGAACCTTCGCAGGCTATGAAAGTATAACACGAGCAACGGACATCAGCAAAACACAAGCGACTGCATTTGATGATAGACGAAACTGTGTATGATGACAGAACATAGGCATCGATGAGGGCGACATTGCTGGCCAGTAATCGGAAGTTTTTAGAGCTCGTGTGAACTGTTTCAAAGGTTATAAAATTAAAGATAAAATCACAAATATGAGTTAGGTCAGCTTACAGGTCCCCGAAAATATGCAAAATGAAAGATGACTCTTACAGTTTTAACAATCAATGAAAAAAATCAAAGATAAAGAGAGAAAAATAGGACACGAATCACAATTATTCCGTCGAGATCCTTGCCGTTTTCCTTCAAACAAATGTCCTTCATTTACAATATACTAATATCATTTGCCTACTTATATTACCATCTAAATTCTAATCATCGACATCACAATGCTTGGTTTACCCCTGTAATCAAGTGTAACGTGAACGGGTTAAAGGGTTACAAGCTATGGTCACAACCCCCAAAGTTTTTAGCCAATTTTTGCCCAGGCACCGAGCGACGGCCACCCGGGCAACGCTTATTTTTAGGGTATCGCTAGGTCGCCGCTGAATTTTTTAGCACGGAGTTAAAATTCGGGCGGCGCTTGCCAACTTTTTACTCGCCGCCCAAAATACGCTCAGTGCCCGAGCGGTCGCCGCCCTGGCAACGACCTAATCGAGCGTTCGCTGTCGAGCGATTTCAAAGCCGCTAGGACAAAGGCTGCCGAGCGGTCACCGCCCGATCGTCGCTCGGTCGCCGCTGGGAGATCAGTCGGTCACTGGGCGGCGAGTTCAAAATCGAACGGCGTCCGGGCAGCGCCAGCTCGGCAGCCTTTAGCATAGCGGCTTCGATTTTTGACCTAAATCGCTCAACGGCAAACGCTCGATTAGGTCGTTGCCAGGGCGGCGACCGCCCGGGCACTGAGCGTATTTTGGGAAGCGAGTAAAAAGTGAGCAGGCGCCGCCCTAGTTTAAACTCCGCGCTAAAAACTTCAGCGGCGATCTAGCGATGCCCTAAAAGCAAGTGGTGACCGGGCGGCCGTCGCTCAGTGCCTGGGCAAAAATAAGCTAAAAATTCGCCCTCCGGCTGCCGAGCAGGCAGCGAGAGTATTTTGGCCTACGAGACACCCGCAGATGGCCCGCCGATCACCAACCGGCCGCCGGGCAATTTCTCCCAAATCAGCCGTTGGCCGGTGGGAGACCGCCTGAGAATCGGTGGGTTATCAGTCGGTCACTGCCGGGACTGCCATGCATTAAACAAAACATTTCATTTACCTCTGTCCTGAGGAGAGGAGCGACGTGTAGTCGTAGAAGTAAGCGAAGCCCCATCTGTTGATCCTTGCCCTGTTGTTGATGTTGATGATGCATGTGATGTTGGTGTTGTTGATGCTGGACTGCTTGTTGTCTCACTGATCTCATCATCGATTGTTGATGTTGATGATGCATGTGATGTTGGTGTTGTTGATGCTGGATTGCTTGTTGTCTCACTCTCACTGATCGCAGCATCGGTTGTTGACGAAAGTTGCGTAGAGCCACTCGTTGTAACAATATTGTCAGTCTGAGCAGTGGAAGTGGACGTTTCGGATGACGTCATTTGATTTGGTGTGGTTTGGGTTGAACCTTCGAGAGAAGAGTCAGCGCCTGGTGTTGTTTGCTGTACAGAACTTGATTGGATACCTGTTGACGTTGAATTAAATAGCGAGATAGTAATAAAAGGATGACAAATCCCAAAATAAAAGATGAAGATTAGAAACAGAACATTTTCTTTAATTGGCATCCGTCGGTAAAATAATGTTGTTATTATCAATGACTTGCAAGACTGGATACATTGGATAAGCTGAATGTAAGTACTTTGTGTATATCACTGAAGGAAAAACAAACATGAAAAACCCTTGAAAAACAAATTAAATCAATTGATATTATTAAAACTGCTATGGATCATCGATATAATATTCACCTCCTTCTTTCTCGCAGATATAATTTTTCTCTAGATTACAATCGCGATCAAACCATTGGTATGACATATCAGGTATCATAAAGAAACACAATCCTCCTTCATCGAGAATCTTCGAATCGTCTGCGAAGTTGGAGTAGGTCAGACTCGAACCGTCCAGCCAAGTCACACTGGATAATCCAAGCCAGTTATCCTCGTTTTCAACGGGTAGGCTGTTCACAATAAAATCTTGTTCGTCCTCTGATCCGATGTAGACAAGATGCATTCCAAGGTCGTCACATGATGATTTTGACGAGCCGAAGTTTGACTTGCTTTGCGAGAAGTAATAACAGGATCCGCCATTGTCAGTGTGACCAACGGAACAAGCTGCAAGAGGAGACAATCATGAATAGGGATATATTATAATTATACACATTTTATTTTATAGTGTTCTGTACAGGATTTGAATATTGAACAAACCGAGGTTATCGAGTTATCAAACTTGGGCACCTCATATTCAGGCCATGAAATGATCCATTGTTCTTCAATCCAATCTAATGTCATTATGCCATTATGGAAAGATGTCGAACTCGCTTGCTTCGCTCACTCAAAAGATAATGGGAACGTTGACTTTACAGTAAGAGACAGTTCCGCCGTTACTGTACTGCTCGTGCGCTTATTATTATGAATAATTTTGATATGTTAGCTGAACGATTTTATTCTGCTAAACAAAGTGTTTTTGCCTTTTAGAAATCTTAGAAAATGATGACCCTCGACGTGCAGAAATACAACAAGTTTCTACTCAATTTTCTGTACTTACCGGCACTGTCTTCTATTTCATCTTCACAAATGAAATAAAACGAAGCGGAACAGCTGGCGTCATACCATTGTCCCTCATGCATTCGGAAACAGATCCCTCCATCATTAAAGACAGCTACGAACTTGTTGTGGTAGAAATTGTTGTAGTCTACGCTTGAGCCATCTATCCAGGTCATTTGGGATAAACCTATCCAATGCTTCTCCGTATTACCAGACAGGCTACTCTGCAAGAACTGTTGTTCTTCCTGTGATCCTATGTAGACAAGATGCATTCCAAGGTTCTCGCAGAACGTTTTTGACGAGGCGAAGTTTGAACTAATTTCTGAGAAATAATAACACGACCCGTCATTCTCGCTTTGATCAGATCCACAAGCTGCAAATAAAAGAGAGAGAGAGAGACATGGAAACAGATAGACGAGAATGGGAAGAAGAGATGAATGGAAGATATATGAAGGGAGTATGGGCACAGCAGGGAGAGGGATATAGAATGATAGAGAGAGAGAGAGGTAGAGAGACAAGAGAGAATGATAGAGAGATAGCGAGAGAGAGAGAGAGAGAGAGAGGGACAGAGGAGGAGAGAAAGAGAGAGAGAGAGAGAGAGAAAGAGAGAGAGAGAGAGAGAGAGAGAGAGATAAAGAAGGAAAAAGAGAGAGTTGGGTGTGAGAGGATAATGAGGAGAGAGGGGTGACAGAGAGGGGGATGAAGAAAAAGAGAGAGCGACGGGGAGAAAAAGGGAGAGGGAGAGAGGAAGAAAGAGAGAGAGATAGACAGACAGACAGACAAACAGAGAGAGAGAGAGAAAGAGAGAGAGAGAGAGGGAAAGGGTTTTAAAACGTGATTGATCAATTAATGGTTACATATTTTAGGTTAGGTTTCGCAGATTATATTTGTATGCCATACATACACTTCTCGGTTAATTTGCTCGAATGATAAATAAATAATAAACAAAAATATAATATTGGTATGTTGTTTATATTAGTTGCTTCTGGTATTTGTTTTAACCTTTTCTGAAAGGACAAAAATATGAGAAGATAAAGAATATGGCGGATCATGAAAAAGTATCCATTACGACAAAATGTGGTGGATTATATATTGCTATTATACAAAGAGATGGAAAATCCAGACAGAAGATTGGCGGCCGAGGTCGAAATTCCAGTTGATACCAGTTGAAACCAGTAAGGATTTCCAACTGGTATCTACTGGTTTGAACTGGTCTCAACTGGTACCAGTTGATACCAGTTGATACAAATTTGAAACCTGTATAAATACCAGTTGACTTCTAAGACCAGTTGATATAACCAGTTGATTTACCAGTTGCTTTACCAGTTGAAAACCAGTAGATGATTACCAGTTGATTTACAACAGTTGAAAACCAGTCGATGATTACAAGTTGATTTCCCAGTTGAAAACCAGTACAATTATACCAGTTGAATTACCGGTTGAAAACCAGTAGATGATTACCAGTTGATTTACTAGTTGAAAACCAGTACGAATACCAGTTAATTTACCAGTTGAAAAAACCAGTTCAATGTATCTTATGCATATTCATGATTAATTTGCATGTTTTCACAGAAAATATAATTATCATGATCTGTCAAGCAAATGTGACAATGCACATAAATTTTGTGATTTATATTTTCTTAGTTAATTATTGACAAGTATATTACACATCTAATCAAAGACGTAATAGTGTGGTACGGTATGTCACTGAAACAGCTCCCGTAGGACTTTTGTGCCAAAATTGATTTTTTGGCATTTTTGGATTGATTGGGGTCCAAGCTATCAGAAATTGATGGGGTTCAAATTTTCCCGACCCTCAACCCCTCTCTGGGGGGGGGGGGGGGTAGTTTCCTATCATGAGACCCCCTAAAATTGGGTGTGTCATTCATCTAATGACTGGTTTCACAAAACTTGAGTTGTTTTCTAGAACTGTGATTATCCCTCAACAGCGAGAAAGGTAATTTGAAGACTTTCAGTTGGATAAACCCTCTAACCAACCCATCCCCATCCCTACCCCACCCCCCGTCAGCCCAAATTGCGTACCTTTGTCATTGTTCGGCCAGCTGTTTTAAGGTGTAGCACTTTTATTACCATTATCATATATATTTACTAGCCCATTTCCAAACACAAAGAGACAGAAACAAACATACACAAACCTTCATGTATACACATCTACCCCCCCCACACACACACACACGCACGTTCATGCACACACACACACACACCCTTCCTCCCACACGCACATACTCACACACACCCAAACATTTACAGGCAAGTGCGCTCGCGCGCACACAGCGCGCACACATTCCTACATAATTATGCTGCTCTGTGATCATTGTTTCCAGCTCTTCTGTGGTAAAAGTTATTTTGTTCCTTGGTCTTCGCAAGTTTGACAGAATAAAGACCCCTATTTTGCAGTATATTGCCTGATTTTCCAAGGTAAGCATAAACATATAGCCAATGGCAAATCTAGATTTTAAAATTTGTGATGTGGGTCTTCATTATCGGTTAGAGAAGAAGAAAATAAATTGCAAAAACAAGAGAGAACTTTATTACTCTTGATCAATCAATCAATTTAGATGGTTAAATTGGCAAATTGGTAAACATTTTATGCATTGATATATATATATATATATATATATATATATATATATATATAAGATCATGGACCTATTACAGAAGGACATTCAACGTTATTCTTTCTTTGATCCAATGAGATCCACCGCCTTCTGATTATGTGCATCTTAATGAGAACATTCAGCTGTTTTAACAATATGACTGCTCAAGCTTTGCTCAACCAAAGAGAGATCACAGTTTTAGTCAAAACTTCCTATCACCCTTGTCAATTGGACTGCCTCTTGCTATCCACCCTCGAGTTCGTGACAAGAACCTTGTTCAAAACCTTTCAGAAGTCTACATTGGAAGTGACTATCACAAGATACTTGATCTAGAAAAGAGAGTTGAGCAGTCAGTTCTTCAACGAATGAAGGATGCTGGGGTTTTTTTTCTTCCTGATTTTGTCAAGAAGGGTGTGAACATCTGGTTTGCCATTGACAAAATTGATCTCTTGGAAGACACACCCACAGGGCAAGGAACCTTTCACGGGACAGTGGTTGTAATCAACCAACCGGCTGTAGATGGAGAGCCAGTGAATCAACCACTTGTCATACCCGAGAAACTTTCTTCGCAAGACCTTCTAGCATTTGAGATGAATGTGCATCCAGAGCCTGTCATCAGAACTAGCCCACTGAGATTTCAGGCCTACAAGAAGAGGAAACAAAATCTCATTTCTCAAGAATTCACTCATACCTGGGCTCTTGTGAACTACCTTACAACAGATGACAACGGAGAAATCATCCAAACTGAACCTCAGCTGCAAGATGAAGAAGCCCAGCGCAGTGGAGAGATGCCAAGTGATGCAGAGTCTACAAATGATGAGGAAACTGAGCCTTCTAGCAACAAGGGGAAAGCTGGGCCTTCAAAGGACAGAGAGGAAACAGACTCTGTCGTGATCATCAAAAAGCAGGTGAAGAAATCAGATAAACTAGCAAAGAATGATGTTCTTCCAACATGGGCTGCAACTAGGTCCTTATTGTTGTCTCAATCCTCTCCCGCTAGCACGCCTACAAACACAGCGGTGGTTGCCCCATTATTCAAGACATCGCCAACTGATTATGTGACTCTCTTTACTGTTCTTTGGTTATCCCAGGGAATATCTGCGACTGTTGTTGGCCCTCACAGAAAGACATTGATAACGCTAGATCTCGATCTTTACTCCCGAGCGTTGAAGATTCAGCAGTCGGTGGGAAACGCCAACTGGATCTTAAGAGCTGGAGCTCTCCACATTGCTTTCGCTGCCTTACATGCTCTTGGCAAAACCATCGATGGTAGCGGTCTTGACACGTGTGCTATCGAATGTGGTGCGTACACCTCAGCATCTCTTCGCAGGATCTTTGGTGGTAAAGCTTATAAGCGTGGCCTTGAATTCCACATTACTGCAAGCCTTGCAATTATGATGTTGCGTTTTGATGCCATACTATCGGATCTTCCCAAGGGTCCAATTCGCATCCAGTGCAATTCTCTCAAAGAAAAACTTCATGGACGTGACCCAGAGATGGTGAAGATCTATGAAGAAATCCAATCCTGGTACTCAAGCAATGTCAAACCGCTTGAAGAAGCTGAAGACCTTGGCGAGTTTGCCCAGTTCTTGACTCAGTATCGTAACCAGGTGGAGAGTCTTCTACATCTCATTAGTTCATGTCGATCAGGGGACTGGGAGGGCTACTTGTCATCACTAGAAGACCTCACCAAGTACTTCTTTGCTCGTGATCTCCTGAACTATGCTCGCCTGATGCCAGTCCATCTCGCTCAAATGAATGCCCTAGAAGAGGATGATCCAGAAACATGGAATGCCCTCAAGTCTGGAGACTTTGTGGTGGCAAAGTCAAAGATACCCTTTTCTCTTCTCTTCACTGATCAGGCTCTAGAGCAAGAAATCAAGAAACCAAAGGGGAATGGTGGGATGGTTGGACTCACAAGAAATGATGCCGTTCTGGACCGACTAGTCACTACCACACCTCAACTTGCTGCTCTGGTAAATCATTACCTCAATGACTTCCCAAAAGCTACTGGAGCTTCGGTGAGGAAGGAGCATCATCAGCTCTCAGGAGACATTGCAGTGAGGTCAAAGAAGAATGCTCTGAAACTACGCCACCTAATCGAGCTGCACTGCGGAGTCAATCCTTTCAAGGAGAAGACACAATTGAAGAGTCTGGTTTCATCGGCACTAGTGTGTCAAATGAGGCGAAAAGTGACATTCTCCACTTTGCAGAAAAGGGCCAGAAGCGCTTTGAGGAGTTTGTATCTGATCGTTTGCTTTCATCATCAACCCTCTCGGTGTGGGACAAAATGAAGAAACTGAAGCTGAAATCCTTTTCGAACTGGATGGAGAAAAGGAAAGTGCGTGTTGGAGACAAGGTCATCAAGTTGCGGGAGGAACTTGCTGGGAAGATTCCTTATCATCCAAGGCAGCCACCTATTAGCTTAGTTCCTAAACAATATGTGAATATGAAATGTCAGTGGTTCCCCGTTCACTATGTGCTGTCGATGGTTCTTTGTACATCCCAACAGACAAAGCAAGTCTGATGCATGCAGTTGAAGATGCAAAGGCAGAACC